TAACTTATTTTCTACAGATGGCTCCATCAAATGAAAAAGAAGTAAAATCTGATGAGTTGCCGCCAAACTTCAGCTTCACCCGCGACGATCCATTTTACTTTGGTCCTTCTACATGTCATCTATTACATTATACTCCTGCTGCCTATATGGCTGGTATCATTGATATGGCAATGCTATCCGGCTTCTCACTTTGGTTTTGGCGTAAGTGATTGATTGCTTGGATGGGTGTGGCTTACCTCAGAATAGGCGGGACTTAACTTCTACTTTCATCTCCGTTTAGAGCTGCACAATGTCAATCAATCAATGGACACATGGGTTGTGATGTGTATGTTTGCTCTTACAGCTGGAGGCTTCTTTACTACTGCATTAATGGTGGGTGTTTTCTAGCGCTTACGACATGTTTATTAAATAGTTCAGTATACAGGGGTACTGTATGTTTACTGTAGCTGCAAGAAAGAACACCCTGCTGAGACAGAGCTGTAAATTTTGAGCGAAAACCCTCTTTTTCAGTTCTATGGCCTCAAAACCGAACAAGCCAGATTGGTTGCTCCAAAGTTGGCCTTTATCCAAGTAGGTTATAGTCTCACATCGAATTCAAAAAAAAAACAGACGTCAAATTGACTAAGAGAATAAGTGGAAAATCGGTATCACTCCTGTTGATCACGTCAGTTGGATTGAATATCACATGTCCTAAACTTCTTCTTCGTTTTTTTTCCTCTCTCTTTTTTCCTTGGCTGGGCAAATGCAGTCCTTTTCAGCTTGAAATATTCATCTTGATGGTTTTCGCAGCAGTTTCTATTGTTGCCATGTCTTTTGGAATAAGTTTGACACATCAGTTATTTGGTACCTTTGTTCGGTAAGTCACTTATTTGCTGTTTCCCGTCGAGTGAGTCTTGAAACAGATAGTGGCAGACGCCTAATTATCTGCATACCGCAGAAGATTAATCTACGTCCATCAATCATCAAAAATTCTAAAACTTTTCTAGAGTACCTGAAATGGAGCGCGATTTCGGCCCTATTTGGCCATTCAACATCGGTGTCATCTCTTTTTTTGCTGCTGCTCTTTGCATTTGGTAACTACTACAATCCAATCACCTAATTTTTCCATTTTATACCGTTAAGGATGCGAGTATTGATTGGTGGTGCAATGGATTTCATACTCGACAAGCAATTTTTCACCGATGCTCCATCGATCGAGATGGAGAAGACGTTGCCAAGGCCGGAATAGACGGGAAATGAACTTCTATTTATTTTTACTTTTGCTCTCACCTGTATGAATTTTTGAACCAGTACGTTCAACAAATATTTATTATTTGAATTTTCTTAGTGCGCATAAGACGGAAGAGGTCACTATTTAACAAAAAAGGTAATTTGTAGCTTGAGGAACAGGTAACAACAACAACAATCTAAATATTACAAGAAACATTACATGGATACAGAAACAAAAGAAGCAAAGATATGAGTCAGTTTTAACTGAGATCCAAGGGTACCAATTATAAAAACCCATAGGTTCAAGAAACAAAAATTGCTGCTAATTTGATTTTAACTCGTTAACCCTCTTCAAAGACTGTTGAATCAAGTCTTCGATGAAGAGCGCATACGTTTGCGTGGACTTTCAGAGTCGTCAGTCCTAAAAAGAAGGAGATTCAATCAAATCAATCTAACATAATCAATTTGAACTAGAAAAAA